TGTAGCTTAAACTCAACGTAAACGCAATCACGAGATTACCGATATGCACGAGACCAACAGTTTGCGTGACCTGCATTAACAAGAATATTTTACTGAATTATAAATGCTTTCATCTTTCGTGTTTGAAAATGTGCACGAACAGTGATAAAGTGCTAGTCCCTTGATTTAATTAGTTAATGTCATACCCTATACCCTTCTAAGCGCTAAGTGACTTGTATTACACGTGGTCCCTCGGGAATATCAACAGGAATATTCCGTGAAAATGCCACCTCTCGTGGTTATGAAGGTAAACAGATACGTTTACATTTCTAGTGCATATAGGGACATGCAAATGTGTCAAGTTTAGCCATGCTTAGACCTAAACAACGTCCTTAAATGGCCTTAGCTGTTGATAGGACATTGCACAAAATAAAACCAAACCAAACCAAAATGACTGATAACGAGATACATATGAATGTTTTAGAGTGTGTAACACTGTTTATTATTATGTATTTGAACAATCGATGTTGTGAGGAATGGAGATGAGAGGTTTGGTGTGACAGATGTGAGGTATGTAAGATGAGCAAAGGTGAAATGAGAAGGGGGTAAGGTGCGAGGTTAGGGGAGAATGGTTGGTTGTTGGTACAGGGAGAAGGTCAAGGGAATGCAGTAGGCGAACGAGAACATTTTGTCGTAGACTGTATCAGGTAAACTAATGTAAACTGAACGAACTTTAAGACCTGGAAACACTAAACATTTTGACGTTAATGAGAACTCTACATATTTGTAGACAAACCCTGGCATTCCTCTTTAACAAGTGTGTGCTGTGGTTGTATTATCGGACGGTTGCTTAGACCTAAGCAAAAGAAATTAAAGTCATCATAGTTTAATACATATATTTGAATGCACCTGCCAAGGGGACAAAAAATGTTACATTCCATGTCATTCACAAACTTTCTCCGCCATTGTCGTTTTGTTGCCCACGTTTTGGTGTACATGTAAGTGGGTTTATCAAAAACTGCATTTATTCCTTACAGTACAATGTACACATGTATCACAAAGTTGTCAACTTTGACATGTTTAAATGCTGTGCAAACCGTTCGATTCGACTTTCTGCATGACTGCATTAAGTAATTCAGATGTCTGCACCCCTCCCCCTATTTGTTTGTATTTTGTATTTTGTATTTACGCCGTTCTTTCTGTTGACATTTTCTAATTGTACAAAGTTCATTCATATTTAAATACACATCAGTGCTAAGTACAGAGAGATGGCTTTGTGGCAATTGTTGCTGACGTCGTAGTAAGATTTGTGGTCGAGATCGTATAAGATAGCGTTGACGATGTTTTACTGATGTCGTAAAGAGAGGACGTGGACGTCATCAATGCAGACTTAGTATATAGATTTGTTAAAGCTGGCATCGTAGACAAATGACATTGGCGGTACTGTTACTGACGTCGAACAAGAAATGACATCAACAATATTATAAGATGTCGTAAAGAAATTGGCGCTTTTATTACTGATGTCGTAAAGGAGATGACGCTGGTGTCATTGTTGGTCACGCTGTAGAGAGGTAGCTTTAACGTCGTTGTTGCTGAAGTCGTAAAGAGATGACGTTTGCGCAAATGTCCCTGATTTCTCAAGATGTAACGTTGACGCCTTAGCTGTTAACGTTGTAAAGAGATGGTTTTTCGGTTAATTGTCGATGAAAAGAATTCAGACATGAATGTTTTTGTTGGTTCTAGAAACATCACTTCTCCACTCCTAAATTATTATTGTATGATGTATCTTATATCAGCAGAGCATTGCCTATCTCGCCTGTAAAACCATGTTAAACCATTAAAATGACAACGCTTAATGCAGCTTATCCTATACTTCAAATTGCATAACACAATAATTCTGGACATTTATGAATATCAGACGATATTTTATGGAACAGGTTAAGAGAATTTATAATCTTATGATTTAGACAAAAACCAAAAAGTAAACGCCACCAGTTTTGCTTTTCACAATGATTACAGGAAAACGTCTCGCCTTACTACCATGTGCACGATTAAATTGTCTGGATTGTTTGTTTGGTATCAAACGTCCTTGCCACAGATGGAGGTCATATATTAAAACGGATACACCAACGAAAAATAGAGAAGGTCCGATATTGCATTTGGTAGAGCAGTATATGTTGGACGCTACACGCAGGCATACACACATAGGGATATATTAGCCAGGTGGCATAGGACTAGTGGTTAGCGGCTGATAAGGAAGCTCCTGCGAGTTCCTCACAAATTTTATTGATTTGTGTATATGCTAATTGTATTAATTGTATATCTAGGTACTGTAAAGTGCTAAAAAGTTGCTTATGTTAGCTACATGTAGATAGGTCGCTATATCAAATGTTGTATATTATTATTATAATTATTCATGGTTCGGCAATAGAGGTATCCGTCGATGTTGATGATGAGAATTTGGCACTTGTACTGCTGGGGTTAAAACAAATCACATTATATGAGTGAAATACAAAGGTGTTAGTTTCGTACAGTTATATTCTAATTCACCATTGTTTGTTTCGTACTATTGTATTATACTGCATTGCATTGGTGTTAGTTTCGTACTATTCTAATACACCAATGATTGTTTCGTACGATTGTATTATAATGGATCAGTGTTACTTTCGTAACATTGTACATTTAATAAACCAGTGTTAGTTTCGTACTATTATGATACAATGATAGTCATATTAGTTTTGTACTATTGTATCATAATAAACTAGTGTTAGTTCCGTTTAAGTGTATAATATTTGAGAAATCCAGCATTCGTTTCGTATTTTATTTTTTATCAATGGAGAGTCTGCTAAGGACTCAGAATCGCTAACACAACTTCATTAAAGCACCGTATGATGATCTTCGCGAGACACAGATCCGTGATAGGCCGCCAGGTATAGGGGAATTTGATTATATCTTTACTGTAAGTTCCTAAAAAAATAACTTTTTATTTATAGGGATTTCAACTAATGGAATTATCTAATTCATATAGAAAACGGTGCTTAGATAAAGAGCTACATGTATGTTGTGAGTATGATATTCTGTATCCCTTTTCAGCCCCTTTACTGGTGATTCCCTTTTGAAAATTGAACTTGTGCATGGTTTTGAGTCGATGTATCACGTGTACAACATCCAAGGTCTTCTTGCCCAGCACAGTCTATAAAAGGTTCAGTGTCATTATTAAACGTAATCCCACGAGATTCGGCGAGATGTGGAGATTTGGTATCAGACAATAAACATCCTTTGCGAGACAAAAGGAGACAAGCAATGCATATATGTACATGTACATGTATGTATATCAAGTCGATATTTAATGCCATATCTTGCATAGGGTTATTTTTTTTGAAAATTGGAAATAAAACAATGGGACAGAAACTTGTTTTCTTTGCATACCGAGTGTGGATAACAACGCCCACCATATATCTATGTAAAGAATCCACAGTGGTATTACATACAGTTACCTCCCCTTAATTTCAGTTTGGATATATTGAGGCGGACCACTTTTGCTGACAATGTAGCTCCCTCGGTTAAAGTGACAATATGCATGTACACGTAGCAATAACAGAGATCTGGGGTTTGAATCCTAGCATAGGCCTCCTATTTTTCTTTGAATGAATTATCAAAGCTATAGTCATGCCAGAAAAATACGAAGCTACATTTCTAGCACTGCAATGGAATATCTATTTATCTACATTTTTTACTAATAGATATTATATGGACAAGGCTCAGTCGAAAGATATGTTATTTGGTGTTTTTTTCATATCTGTTTTAATCAAGTCAATAACAAATTAAATGTGACGTCACAAAGCGTTGTGACGTCAATGTTGAATTTTGTTTTATAAACTTGGAAATGTTTAAAAAAAAATATGTATACATTATCCTATAGATCAGATTCCCCAATAATAATGTCATACAGAAATATTCACATAGAAATGCGTTATAATAACGTTCTATGCATGTACATGTAGTATATATGGCAGCGCAGACTACGAAATAACAGAGTTCGCCTGTAAAATGAAATTACTTGATTTTGTTTTGTCCTTCAGATTAATGTCAACTTATACAAGTATATTTTTAACATGTTTAATCCTATAAGCTAAAGTGTATGTATGCAATCAGGATATCAAGTTACAGGGTCAGACTTATTGTTTACATTGTCCTGATAATACATAATGAGTTATTGCTTGCATGGTCCTGACACATGTAGGCCAACAAGATTTATCGCTTGCATGGTCCTGCTAGAACATTAGGATTTGTCGTTTACATTTTCCTGATAGAACATATATAATACATGATATATCGTTTACATGACTGTAATAGTCAAGGAGATCAATATTGTACACGCTTCTGATACATGTGTATTACATATACATGTAGATACATATGAGTGATCGGTTACATGGTCGTGATAGAACACAGATATTTATGGTTTACATGCTCCTCATAATATATACAGATTTATCATTTACATCACATGGACGTGATACTAAGAGATTTATCTGTATGGAACTCTCTATTGATAAATCAAGCTCCGTATTAAACTCAGCCTGAGATTAATGATTAAATTTTAAAATGCTTTCATTCAATTAAGAGCGAGTAACGCTGTGAAAATTCAATCAAATATTGACACCTGGTATATTCAAAAGAATGATCTTATCAAAACCGACTCTGTTTGATTCACAGGTTGCTACCATGTTAGAAGTCTAGTTTGTTAATGGCTGTTGATTTATACGAGTGAAGACCGATACATAACGACCTGTTAACATTACGTCAGCGCAAATATCAAACGTCTACATGCCCTGAGATAAAAGTGAAATGAGGTGTTCGGTACACCTCTGTTTGGTACCATTCCAGTTAGTTTTTAATTTCTTAAACCGAATATGGGTTCGCATTACGTCATAACCTTGTGAAACATCAGATATATAACAATTGTCGAATGGAGCTTTTAAATCAAACATCGTGGTTTCTTTTTTGTTTCTTTTCAGACACGATGGATTTAGACTGTTGTGAAGAGAGTTAACAAAGAAACAGCAATCTCGAGAGATCTGAGTTTTTCTACCTGTCGGATTAGGCGATGGATGATGGTACAAAGTCAGCAGCTCAAGGATCACCACGCTCATCATTAACCCGGGCAATTATCACGACGCGGGAAACATACAGATGTAATATGGGTGAAGGGCAAGGTCGCCATTAGTGAAATCTATTTTTAATCTTCTTGAAGGTAAATATATTTCAACATGTTAACTTGATTCAAAGTCTAATATATACATGGATCAAACAGCCGTCCTGGAAAAAGGTTGAGCAAATGGTAAATGTGTGCGCGCAAGCAGACGACCGGAAGTGAGTGAAAGGATTAACTTCCGGCTTCGAGACGGGTGCATTACTTTCGACACTCTTTATTTTATCACTTCCCAAGTCTTCCAAAATCCATTCAATGAGTGGTTTACATCACTAGTCAGCAAGCAATACACGGCCAACGATTCACGTTCTAGGGACTTGATACTATGGATACGGTCGGAAGGATATGAAGAAGCAAAACGTCCGAACTCTATCACTAATCGTTTGTACGTTCACTTACCTTTTAATCGGAGCGGCAGTATTTGATGCCTTAGAGTCAGACTACGAGATTGAACACCGACGGAAATATCAGCTGGAGGAGAAACAATTTAAATCAAGTTACAACATCTCAGATGAAGACTATGAACGCCTGCGCAAGAACATCCTGAGGGTGATGCCTTACAAGTCTGGGCGACAGTGGAAGTTCGCCGGCGCCTTCTACTTCTCACTTACCGTCGTCACCACCATAGGTAAGTCATGACGTCATTTATATGTGTCAGGTGTCATGTATATTCTTACAAGGTTTTATCGTCTCAACAGTTGCTGTTAAAGAAAACATATATACCATTGTGTGTCGTTGTCACAATAAACATATACCCCTAACAAAAGAACGTGGCATTCATTTGACTGTAAATGCCATGACCCCTGTGTTGACGTCATTATTATTATTATTATGTCATTATTGTAACATTATATACCACTAACCCTCAATAGTATAGATGACTGATCTATTCATTGAAGAATCATTGGGAATTTTAGAAAACGTGTTTTACTTTCTTTGATTTTAAAATACCCCAAAATGGTTGATATTAGCACTGAACTGTCGCATTATGGTCCGTTCGTATGTAAACCTATGTCATTTATATAGACTATAAATGCCATATCAACACAATTAAGTACTTCTAAAACGGGTCATGCTTATCAGCATCTCTTTCATTGCATAAAAACGCCTACAGTAGAATCTACATGTAATACGTCCGAACGTTTGTCGTGATGTGTTCCTATACCTGTGTTCCCTACTACATGAAGAAGCGGATAACCGTCATTAGGTGAAGGATGATCCGGCTACTCCTAAGCTCTTACATACGCCCATAACACACCAGGTACCGTATCGACCCTGAATCATTTGAATGTAATCTATTGATCAGATAACGTTCTTACTCCACGAATATCTGGAGTATGTTATGTATCGTTTCAATGGCTTCGTGCAGAAAGTCGACGTTTTTCAACAAACCATTTTTATCATCAAAATTATTAGAATTGTCGTCCTTGATATGAGATACTGGTCATCAGTCTAATTCAGTCTAATGTCATTTTTTTTTGCCGATGATTGTTCATTATTTGTGCTAAAAATGTAATAGATAATGATTAAAGAGCTGCTGCTGAAATTTTAAATAATGATCTTAATAGAATATCTATGTGGGCAAATAGATGGGGTATACTTTTTAATCCCAACAAAACAGAAGCCCTACTAATTTCAAACAAACATAATACTGATGGACTACATCGTGACCTTATATTCATTAAAAACATTGTGGCAAACGTGAAAAAGCATAAACATCTTGGAGTTTTTCTTAATTGTCATGGTTCAAGGTTAGACCACATCAATTTTATTTATGAAAATATATATAAAAAAATGAATCTGTTCAGATCACTTAGGTATAACCTCGACAGAAAATCTTTAGAAATAATATACAAATATTATATTCGTCCAAACCTTGAGTATGCAAGTGTTTTGTGGAATAATTGTAATCAGACAGAATCCGATCTTCTTGAATCCATCCAGTTAGATGCTGCTATAATAGTTACTGGATTACGTAGGGGCACTAGTCATGCTGTCATTTATAATGAACTAGGATGGGTTACACTTAGGAAACGCAGAAATGACCAGCAACATATGCTATTTAAAAAAGAAACACAACGTCATACCCCTAATTATCTGTTTGAAAACATTGAACCTTATATTATAAACAATGACTTAGTGACTCATGATATTCGACATCAACGTGTATTTCAAACACCCATTCGTAGAACTAGTATATATTTTAACAGTTTTTTTCCTAGTTTGATGTCTCGTTGGAATAGATTTGATTGTAGTTATTATAATTTGAGGTCTGTAAGTGAACTTAAAAAGCAACTCGTCCATCATGCCATTCTTCCTAATGCGGAGGATACATGTACAAATGATTTTAAATATGGAGGGACAAGATCTTTTAGCGTCATTCTATGTCAACTTAGAAACCAGGCAAGTCAATTAAATTCTGATCTTTTTAGAGACCACCTTACTAATAGCCCATCCTGTATATGTGGCAACCATGACGAAGATGTGGATCACTTCTCTCTATACTGCCCTAGGTATATAATCCAAAGACAAAACCTATTAGATTCTCTGTCTCATTTGCAGCTTAACTACATTTAAATCTTGACTTCAACCTGATTGAACATTTAGTAAATAATATCAATATACTAACTAGGGGAAGTAACCACCATACATTGTAGTCATGATCCTAATTCTGCTATTTGTGTATGTGTTTAGAAATATATTGAGTCCTTTTTTCCATGTTTTAATTACGCTTTATTGCTTTTATAAGCAGTGTGATTGAGCATAAATTCTACGGCCCATACAAAGCCTTTCCCTTAAAACTTAGTAGATACAGAAGTACTATAAAAAAATCATCAATGAAAAATTATAAGTCCGTGATTTAAAGAACTTGTGTCTGTTAAAAGTTTGATTTGATTTCGTTCAAAGTTAATTTACTGCAATAATTATACATGTACATTAGCATAGCATATACCGTATTCGCCGTTATTAGCGCCCCTTCCCATGTCATACTGTAGCAACGGTGGATTCCGGTTGAAGTTGCACAACTTGAGGGTGCCCTCCCCTAATTCGAACTATTTTTGAGCGCCCTGTACGTTAAATACGGCAAATACGGTTACTCGACATAGTGATAGGCGGCGTTTACCACAAATCGCTTCTGTTTCATTTCTTACTCTCAAACACGCAATATTACAATATTTGACCACTGCATGCATTTCATGTGACGGACAGAGAAAAATATATTTATTTCCCTTGTAAATGATATATCCTGGTCATGAGATTGTCTAGGGAGTCATGTACATTTCCGGATATTTGATACCGGTTCCTATTTTCATTTTGTTTATTACATAATCCTGGTCGACGAAACGTTTGTAGGAAAGAAAAGCAGTAATTATATAACGATATGGAACATTTTTACACTTAGTAGGTTTTGTTTTATCCTCTCGCAAGAAACTGTGACACGATTCCGGTCCTCGAAATCAGTTCAGACGAACTGACGTATAACACTTACTAAGACATTAAAGATTTGCTGGCTCGAGACTTGCACGTTTTATGACGCGGTCATTCGTCCCCACGTAATTGGTTTAGTTTACAGCGGCCTTATGATTGATTGCATCCGATCGATGTCTTCTAATGTCGTCTTCACGTATGGTGTGACATAGGAAGATAAATATGAGTGATAGTTTCGTATTCCAGTCAGGAGAGACTTTACGTCTAAAGTTTTGAAATATATGTCTGACCGATTAAAGGTTTACATCCGGGTGACAACTTGCAATGTAAATGTTGCTGTCTTTGTGACGTTCATACAATAAGTGGTTGACATCCGGGTGACTTCTACGGTATAAATTCTGCAGTGTTCAAATACGACATCTAAGAACAGAACACAACCACAATATTTATGTGATTTTGAAAATAAATAATCTTAATTTTGTAAACCCTAAGGTTTAGGTAAATTGCATTCTTAATCGACATTGCTTCGTGCACGATTAGGCCTCTATCGCAACAATTCCAGACAGTTTATATAAAGTTTTATCGTACACACGGGTCCCGACCGACATTTCTGCCTGAATGTCCCAGTATCTCGAATACACGGAACACACGAACCAGGAGAAATGCTTAGGCGAATTACAATAAATCTCCTTCCACTTCGAGACGCCCGAATTGATGTTTATTCTTGTCTCAAGGTGCGATTCATGATTTCCGCTATTTTGCAAAAAGGAATAAAGTAACCCATTTCACGCACTATTTATTGATTACTTTGACCTGTATACAGTGTGTTTCATTCGTCCTTTCAGGTTTCATCCTAGTTCTTTTTTGTACTCATAAAATTACAAAACAAATTATAAAAATGTCTTCTTGGCGCTGTTACTTAGATTAAAGACAGATTCTTCTAAATGAAGGAAGTGTTTTGGGGACGAAATGGATGGGGCCCGGTCAGAGCTACACCTATAGTTGTCCGTTAAAATATGATGCCAAACTCGACCCGAGGTTCGCAGACCCGGAAACTTCCAAAGGACAGGCGGCGGTTTCAGAATTTAATACGGCTACTTATAACTGATGTTTTATTCCGTGATCTTTCACTGGTTATCGAATCAACATCTGGCAAAACTACAAAGTCGCTTTGTTTCATTGCNGGGGTGAAGAGAGACAGAGAGAGGGGAGAGAGAGGGAGAATGAGAGAGAGCTAGATTCGGATTAGTTAGTAAACATTAATATAAGAAGTGCAGGAAAATATACTCAAAATCTGTTAGTATCTAGAATAAATTGCTGCGTCTGTTTGGCTATTAGGGTGTTTTCTTGATACGACAATTCACTTTTACCGTATAGTAGTAGCTGCAAGTTAAGTGGAATGAAATCATTTAATTCGCGGTAGAGTTTAATTCTCTGATCCGCATAATTATTGCAAGTAAAAAAGAAGTGATATGTATCTTCGATAGGATGTCCACATTGACAGTGCTGAAAATCTATTAAATTAGCATGAAATAAGTGATTGTTTAAGGTACTAGAGTTATTTCTCAATCAATAACGAATAAAACACTTAACTGTGAGTGAACATGATTCAATAGTAGGTAATGCATTACACATACTTCGGCAAGGGCGGCGAACCAACTATAAGTACATACACATGCACGGTAGTGCTAATACCGTGCTAATCAATTAAAAGCATGTACAAATCAACGTCTAAAAATAGAAACATGTTATTATAAATACATTCATAATCTGTTAAGCATGTAACGATGAAAAGTATATCAGGCGGTAAAATAATTAATAAGCCATTACGTGACACGACTAATTATAGAGTCTACCACACACGGTATTCCCTGGCGAGTGTTTGCATTGCACCGAATGTACGTGCAAGTTAATGGCCGACGTCTGATATTCTGTCCACATTACATATTTCCGTACCTCTACATCTGTGCTCTCCGTTATTATAGCATAAGTGATTAGTTTAAAAACTGTTTTTTCTTCATTGATGATTTATGGATCGTACCCCAGTTAAAATAAAAATTCCATTATAATAATTGCTTCGACTCTCTAGAGCTCTCTCTAACAAGTTAACAACACGTAATTTATTTAGTAATACCATGATCCAACCAATTACGTAATCAGGTTTTTCTGCCCGGGAGGCGACAATCAACGCGCCGAAGA